GTTAGTATATAAATAATTGCATAATATAATACGTATGTAGTTAAACTTTCAAAGAAGTTTCTACAGTTGGTTTTCAACTAGTGTATTTGAACTTCAAAGTTTTTGTTGTCCGTGTGGGATATCAGAAATTTTTTGTACCGATTTCATCAATGTGTTTGGTGTAAGTACCTGCATGATATCTATTAAAAATGTAACCTAGAAAGTTACCATAAATTATTAATTTTTGTAATTCAGAACTATTTAGATACATATCCTTATATTATCCTACAAAATTTTGACGTTTCACCCATCAAGTTTTATTATTTATATTAATTATTATTGAAATAAGTTATGCACTTGATTGTCATGTTTATACTACATTGATTATTTTTTAAAAAACAAATGCAACATTATTTTTTTCACAATATTTACGATTCTGTGCACCTTTTTTTTTTAAATGGTAATGCTAACTTGCTGGACATAATTTCTTCCACTTTTCAAATCGTAAAGATCTAAAACCGTTCCTTCGTTTTCGTTCAATATTTACAGCATTAAATTGTTGCAGTTTATTGGATGGTTACGAAAATGAATTCTGCTTCTGTCCCTAATTATAATGTAATCGAACTTTATTACATCCTTATAATGATTGCGAAGTCATAGTGACTATTACAATTTAATAGCATTCCTTACTTGATTGATTCGAGTTATTATGCAGTTTCTTGGACAACAGCTTAAAGTTCACGTAATCGGTGTATGTACAAACATATCTATAAACATTTTACTATTATGTTAGATAGATAGTAAAACAAACGTAGCAAAAGTTGTTTATGGTAAAGTCAGTCATTTAAGACAGATACTAATACTGATAGGAATTATCAAACCACTTACATAGGATCATGTTGTTGTCGGTCTGTCTGTCAAGACGATTTTTCTCAGGAACGGCTATCAAATAGCTGGAGTCTGTAGCATTGAACTTCTAAAAATAAATTCAAGTAAGTAGTGCAGCACAGAAAATTCAAAATCCTTCGCAATCGGGCTAGGACAGGCTCAGCCCTTTCACTCACTGATTGATGCTGGTCAATCAAAATGTACAGGATGTTTTCCGTTGGCCTAGAATCTTCAAATTATTCTCGTCAATCCGTTTAATCCTTAATTGTGGTTATTTCCGACTAATCGTTGCAATTTTCTTCATATTTTTCTTGTTTTAATAAATATGTAATATCGTTTTATGGCGTCTACAGAATATAGGGTGCCGGACGTTAAGGTAAAATGCAATTATCGTTTCTAAGTACAATATAATGCTACGTACTTGTGAGTTTTCCCATGGTTTTCAAGTCATACAGTGGTCACAGCCGTTTGTCGTCCTTTGCGATATTAAATACGTGACGTGCATATTTAACACTATTATTTGTATTATAATAAACGTCTGGGTAGTAGTATGTGTTCATGTATCATAATAACCGTTACTATTATTTGTACGTATAATGCATTCATTATGATAAAGTTTTCACAAATTCCTTTTTTAATTGCAAAGCAAAATTTGGTAAAAAGGATGCTTCTTGATACCCTCATGTTAGAACATATTTAAATAAATCTTAATAATATAATTTATTTTTATCAGTTATTTTAAGCAAGCTGATACTTATCAATCAAGTAAATGTATATTACAAATTAATTTGGAGATCACAGCTTACAAATTCGTGAAAGTAAATAATGCAAATAAATGAAACTTCTTCTAGGGTAAGTTCGTTTAATACGAGTTGCTATGTAACAAAATTATTCAACGTATTTCCCCCGCTGTTTGTCCCTATGTATGCTTAGATCTTTAAAACTACGCAACGGATTTTAATGCGGTTTTTTTTAATAGATAGAGTAATTCAAGAGGAAGGTTTATATACATAATACATGCATAATATAGTAGAGAAACACTGATAATTTTAGAAGTTTGTAATGTGATGTAAATAAGCACATTTTTTTGCGCTTACATTGCAAACGCTGGCTGAACCCTACGAATCAAAATAATATACTACATTATTGTACACCTTAAAAAGATCTACAAAAAAGTCCGCGATGGTATATGTCTATCTCTTAGGGATAACCCACAATAACCATTTTTATCCTTTACTTTTTATGAGAAATAATGACTTGTTTACGAAGCGATTGTAAGCAATACAGCATTAATTCTTATCCAATTAAGTACCTTAAATACATTGTGCATTTAATATAGATCAATATGGCCCTTTNTTTCGATCCGTTCGTTGGAGCCGTCTTCGGTGGATAATTTAAAACCCATTTTGTTTCCTTCGCTTCGAAATAGTCAACAAGAAGAACAACAACAACCAAAAAGGCTCAAGCATCAGCGCAAACCTAAAAAAAATACGTGATAAACAAGCAAAAATTCTCAGACAAACACTTTGTGATCTGTTCGAGCAAGCGCAAAAAGAAACAAATTGAACACATCACACAGAGTTTTGTAAAACTGGAGAAGAGAGAAGACAAAAAAGTACAGATGAATGATAGCTGATTATTATGATAAGGTAAGAGAGAAGCGCATAGTATTGTATATTTCGCATTATTGATTGTGGAGTCTTTCACTGTGTACAGTATAGAGTGTATGTATTGTAAGTAAAACGTAAGCTAAGTTCTCTTCGTCGCAGACGTACGGGAACTTGTTTAAATAGTTGCAACCAGCCCTGAGACACTGCCATGTCACTGGTTAAATTCTAGTTATTAGAATAGACTAGCTAAATTTTTTAATACATAATGTAGTTCGTGTGATTTCCTCATTCGTATTTTATCATTTGTTTCCCATTTCGTCTCATTTTGATCATACTGTAACGGTTAACTATAATAATTCACGGTATTATTGTTATGCAAGCCGTTTATAATTTAAGTTATTGTAATTATTAAGTAATTAATATCTTCAACGTCGTCGTCATCATCGATATCATTATGATTGTAATCGTAAGGTAATTTTTGTCGATCGTTATCAGCGTAATTAACAGAAAGGTGGACTCAAAAGGAAACATCAAAAATCGGCATTCGACATTCCTCCTTGTGTGTTCTTATTATTTTTTTATGTAACTTGAAATTTGCAAATGCGGGAGTACATGCACTCAGAAAAGTTATTCGCGGTTTCTCATTATCAAACATTCAATGAGAAATTAATTTTCCCAAAACGCCTAAAACTCACGTCTGTGGTGCCCTTCCTTCCTAAATTAACATTAAATTTGTGCATTTCTTTCGATCACAGTTGTTCTAAATCATGCATTTCAAGTGATTTTCTTAATTGTGATAATTAAAACTTCATTTGACTACATTTTAAGAAAAGAATTTATAACTTCAATCAGTAATTTATTTGAAATAAATGCAGTGTAAAAGTAATACATATGACAGGGTATGTATACAAATATAAATTGCTGAAAAGCACCGTATAACGGTGAGCCTGCGAACTAAATCTCATGTGCAGCGCAGTCTATCGTCAAAGTCAAAACTAAACATAGGGGGATGAGTTACAAAGAGAGATAGAAGGGTAATACTTACAATTACTTTGTATAAAGAACAACAGGCAGTTATAGAGATAGGATTGCACCGTGGAGAAGTAAATATTAGGAAGGGATTCCCGACAAGGATGCACACTGTCACCACTACTTTTTAATCTATCAACATCATTAAAGGCAATACAACTGTAATAGTAATGGAATAGATATACAGGGGCAAAAATTTGTATATACACTTAGATCTGCAGATGATATAGCACTACTGTTATTTTACAAGGAGGAATTAGGGATAGCGTTAAATAAAATGGAAAATTGAATTGAAAAAACAGTATTGTATGAAAATAAATAAAAGTAGAACAAAAATACTGGTATGCAAGGGAAGAAACAATAGAGAAGGAGCGAATACAAAGATAGGAGACGAAAAATTAGAAGAAGTGAACGATTTTAGGTATCTAGGAAGTCAGATAAGTCAGGACGGAAGGAATAGGAGGGATATATAAAGCAGAGGATAGCTCAAAGTCGAGTCGCGTTCAATAAAAAGAAAAGGTTAGAAGCGTTAGAAATGTGGTGTTACAGGCAAATATAAGGATACGGTGGTTAGAAATAAAGAGATATTTGAAAGAATAGAAGAACAGAGGACTATATGGAAGTCAATAAGAAATAGGCGAGATAGGTTGGTAGGACACCTTCTCATTCATGAAGGTCTAGTCAGGCATATTAGCGCCGGAACGGGAGGTAGGAGGGGTAGATGTAGACCTAGATTAGATTACTATTTGCAAATAGTTAGGATATGGGTTGCTCTAGTTTTAGGAAAATGTGAAGATTAGCTCAGGATAGGAAAGAGTGAAGGTGCGTGTCCAACCAGTCTTAGGACTGACACCTTATAATGATGATAAAAATATTCATAAAAGCATCTAAAATTTGAAAGTCGAAAATCGAAAATAAATCATGTAGATGGAGATTTAAACGAATTAATTGTACTGTCTGTTTACGATATTTTAATGCAATGGAAAAAGTAAATTGTAAGTTTTTGGCATAATTATACCAAGTAGAGACGCATCGGATAGTGATTTTGCCGGGTACCGGATAACCGTGGGCCCAGCATTAGCTGTCCCGGGTACTTGGCAAACCACCACTTGGTTAATTGCTCATGTCTTCGTTCTGGCGAGCTTTCCACCAACCTCGCTAACGTAACGTCCTAAATCACATTAAGTAAACATAGTACCATAGGAGTACTCGGCGTCATTATCTGGTACCCAGCTTAAAAAGAGTGCCGGGTACCAGATCCAAACCGGCCCAAAGTATTTGTTGGGGTGGAAGCCCTCTACGCGATAGCCAAATTCCCATAATATTTTAGGGTTTCGTATGTCGAAATGAAGAAAACGTTTATCAAATGTAATGTTATTCATCATTTCTACAGTCATTATGAACAAAGATGTCTTAGGACCAAATCGTGTAACTATTATGATATAGATCTGTGTAAATACAAAGGGTACATAACGATTCTCTTTAACATGTGTTTTTCTGTTTTGTTTCAGTGGGGTTGCAACACTTAGCTGTACGGATTGCAGTGGAAGTAGCACAGCGTCTAGTGACATAACCGATCCAGGTTCTCCGTTCAGCACCGCGTCCAACAATTCTGAAGATTCCGCGTTGCAAACGTCATCGATAACAACCACGAAAATGCCTCCCACACAGACGGTCCATTCGACTTGGCCCTGGTCTGTCGGGGAAGCGCCTCCTGTAAAACGCGCCCTCATCGGGAAAACGGAGTTCCCGAAAAGAATTAAAATCGATGACGTCGCGCATCAACCGTTATCAATCGAACAAAAGGTGATCGATACGGGAAAAACGGTTTATCCTGTAGTAGTAAATAAGGGTCGCCCGGCACTGAAAGCTGCCATTACATCGCCTGCCATTCCGGCGATCGCGAACTCTCTTCCAAAAGACAGTAAATTAGTTAATCATAATCATAAATCACAATCGGTTTCGTCGTCGATAACTAAAGTGCAACAGGGTAAAATAACCGAATACTTCAAGTACCAGACGAAGACGAATGTTCTTCGAAGAAAACAGTTGCCCGTCAAACCGATCGAAGGTGCCGCGAAGAATGCGAAAAAGAAAAGCTCGAGGAACGCGCTATCGGAAAGCGCTGTCGGTTCTTCGCCGACCAAGAAGCAATCGGGTACCACGCTACCTAGAAAAATATTACCCGCACCAAGCAAATTACAATGTGATAAAATCGCGGTTAATAACGTCAATAGTTTTGCACCAACAGTAACGCTCACCACGTTAACGATACAACCGAGCCTTACGTATATTCATACGAAAACGCCGAAACCGCCTGATAATTTCTTCTTACCCCAATTTGCCGCGATAAATAACGACAAACTGAACACTATTCCACTCATGAGCGCTACACCATGCATCAACACTGTAATTCCGCCTCTACAAAAAATTGCCACCGTTAATAGCTTCAATTGTTTCAAATTGAACGCTACAGTAGTGCCTATCGTAAAACTGAACACTTTGCCTTCGAAATTAAACGGGTCGAATATCGCTTACGTCGACACAGGAGTGCCAACTGTGCCTGTTCCTTCAAAGACACCCAGCGTTAGCGACTGCATGCCCGCTGCGACACCCCACATCGCTCCCATCACCCACGACCATCCCGGCATCTTCAACCCCGACGGCTTATTAAACATGTATCACATCAACGCTCATCAAATGCCCCAATTACAAACCAGCCACTGTATTCCTCCCGCTAGCGAACAACACCAAATTAACCCCTTCGAATTCCAACAGCAACAACAGCAGTCCAACAAAACCGACGAATGTTCGCAAACTCAGTTCGATGACGAACCAAATTTCCTCGTAGCAGATCAAGCCGAAGACATTTATAATATCGACAAAAATAGGCTAGAAAAAGTACAAAACAGTAGTAATAATAAATCGCCGGAAGGCACTGCCGACATTCAGTTGCTACAAAGTTGTCTAACTGCGACCACAACAAATGCACAAAATAAATGCAAAACGATAGAAACATCGTCATCGCTTAGAATAAATATAACTAGCTGTAGTAACAATAATAACAATATTAGTAATATTAACTCTAGCGTAATAAGTAATGTACATCATCATCATCAAGGCTCGTTATCGCTATCAGGCACTAGACCAATTATCACTGAACACTGCCAGCCTGATAGACGCCACGAGGACAAGAAAAATGATGAGGATGACGAAGAAGAATTGGAATGTCGTAGTAGCAGTAGGGCTGAAAAGGATTCGGATAGCGGGGTGTCGTGTAAAGGGTTGTTGGAGGTGAGTGTGAGCGAGGTGGTTGTGGTCAAGTCGCAGAAGTCGCCCATCCTGTCGCAACCGAAGACAATCAGATTTCCGGCCAGGCAGCAGGAATCGACATCGGAAGCGAAAGAAATTCGAAGCGTCAGCGCCGCGGACACTTCGTCGTGTCGATGGTTAGGCTGTGACACACTATTTGAAACCAGTGGGGCCTTACTAGAACATTTGCAGGTAAACTTTTTTATTATCTTACCAATCAGTTAGTACGTAAAAATCTCTGTAGAAATTCCACAACAAATCGTTTAATTAACCCATAATGTCCAAAAAGTTGACTGCTCTTTTTTTGAAAGATACGACCCAATCATAAATAAAAACGTTAAACTATTCAAAGTTTAGAAAAAGTTATAACATTGTATACCTTTTTAGTATTTGTTTTAGCCTATAACCACGGAACTTCACCTACAGCATTTTAATTATTTAAAATAACGTTACGTTATTTTAGGTTTCAAGAAAGGGAAGGTTACTTTCCTGGACATTTTGTTGTTTGAAGCTTCACATAACTTTTGAGATCTTTATTAACCCCTTAGCTTCGTCTTGGACAACTCTTACTTAACCAATAAACATTTTGCTTTCAAACTTCTGACTTCTTTAAGACTTACTTTACGTGCAGTTTTTACAAGACGTATTTAATTCTTACAGAGAAAAAGATTGGTACCTAATTATAATTAATTAATATTTCGAAAAAAAAAAAAAAACGTACACACAAAATTAATACAAGTCTGTTCGTCAAATAAATGTTTTCTGTAAGAGGCCATGACTTTAAAACTTCCTTCTTATTCTATTCGCGTCTGATTAGTAAGTCCTAAAGAGACACCGCACCTACAACAAAATTTCGGCATTCAGTACTGCATCGACGATTGAGTTTTTCGTAAACGGAAAATTTGATCTCTTAATTATGTGTCAATCAAAAGCTAAATCGATTGAATTTTGAATTGAAGAAGGCGTTAGGATTAATATAAATCTCGTAAACATTTGTCATTTCCTTTTGATTGATCCATACATTAATTTTGTGCTTGAAGTAATTTCAGATATTAGCGTATGCCTTTCCTGCTACTTGTTTAAATTGTTTATAAATAATTTATGAGACTGCAGATATTTCAGTGAAACGATATCGTTTACGATTTTCATATCATAATATCAGCAGAAGTCATTGTTCATCAAAATCATTCACATCTGCATCCACCGACAAAAGAAAACCTTGATAATAGTGACTTGATTCCAAGAACCCTGGTTGAACTGTAATCATAACGTTTTGCAATGTTTATAGAAGCTGTGGTTGTTTGTTTTGTGCAATAAGTGTTTAATACCTTGGCATTTTGTTTAAAGGAATAATTAATCTCAACCCCTGTCTGTGTCAACCTGGTTTTAAAATGTTTTTGTGAACTCGAAATATTTCGACAGAACATCAGTATTTTTTCTTCAATAATCTGCTTGTGTTGCAGTAAAGGTTAAGCAAACTGACATAAATAATTTCGTTTACAACATTTTCTAATCGACAAAGTTAATTTTGTAACATTTTCTGCGTTGTAACCACGCCAGTCCCAATATTTAGCTCGGGTTTTTGTTTTATAAAGAATAACATTTGTGGAAGTTAGGAGAATCGTATGGAAATTTAATTTATATTTCTTTTTGTTAATTGGTAAAGATTAATACAAAACAAAAACAAAATTGGCAACGTATACTAATAAAAATACAGTGTGCTGTAGTATTAGCATTTCTCAAAAATTTAATATGTATTAAGTGTAAGGGTTGAGACAGACACCCTCATCCCTAATTTTTTAAGTACGATAAAGTTGATAATGTTACTATTTGTAATTGTATTTTCAATTATTATTACCCTAGCTATAACTATAAGACAATAAACCAGGGGTGGCAGACCTTTTCAGGAGGTGGGCCATATTCAATAAACAAGTTTAGTTGCTACTACAAAATTTTAATTACATGTATAGATGGAGTTTAATCTCAAATTTGCTATGTACTTTAGAAAAGTCGTGTTGTGTTTCTTAGCGGGCCGTATACAGATAGACCGCGCGGCGAGGCCCGCAGGCCCTGGAGGTGGCCATCTTTGCTTTAAACTATTCATGTTGTCAAGGGGTTTCCACTGGTAGCCAAGCATTCATGGGAAATTTTATTCGTAATATTTTATTACATGTACATAGGTAAAAATTGATTGGCAAAAGATGTTTATTATCCGCGTGTAATATCCGTGGCGACCCTTTCTTATATATTGCTGTTTAATATATTTATTTATTGTCTCAGATATCAGACAACCTGAACATTTATCTGATCGTTTTTCTAGGGTATTAATTTTTGTACTTACTACGATGTCTTACTAATATTATCAAGTTCACGATCGACAACATTTAAAATCGGATAAGTATGTACCCTTATACCTATCAGGAAGTTTACCAGTTTAAGACATCATCTTACTGGTATGTAAAACATTTGCCAAGCCATTAACAATAACGCTTTTATTTCATTTTTAATTACCAACAAATGTTTCGTTACATTATAACATTGAGATCTAATTTACTTTAAGTATACTTAAGTTTCTGTATCTTCAGTTAGCAGCTCTTTAGTCACTAGAATTTTTCGAAAAGAAGTTGAAATATTAATTAAGTTAATGTAATAAATATGAATTGTCATCCCATTATGTGGACGACGAGTGAAATTTTCTTTTCGAAAAATTTTCTTTTCATTTGGCGTTTATTACATTATTGAGAATGGAGTTAATTTATGTTGATCTTCTTCCACAAATAGGTAAGACATGTGATATCCCAAGCAACACAAGAAACGTACGTGTGTTTATGGAATGGGTGTAAAGTGCATGGTCGCACTTCTTGTTCCCGGTCATGGTTAGAACGTCATGTTCTTGCCCATGCTGGTACCAAACCTTTTCGATGTATAGTCGAAGGATGTGGCATGCGATTCAACTCACAAGTGAGTATTTATTGAAAAAAATTATTATTCAATTTCTGCTTCCTTGAGTTGTATCAAAACATTGTTAACTTTTGTATTTGTTACAGATTTCGTTAGAACGGCACGTCAACAACCATTTTAACAGCGATGGATCTCAAAATGGTACTGCAAAGAAGAGCGTGGAAAATGGTTCGGCGAAATTGTTCAAGAGGAACGGGAAGAAGATTCGATTCAGAAGACAACCCTGGTCAGGTAATAAATCAAAAGGAAAAGTTTAAAGGTAAAAGCAATGAAACGGGACTGCTCTGTTTATTTCAGCGCGAATGTTTGATTTCTTCGATTCTGGGATTATGGAAGGACTTCAGGATCGTCTGCTAAGGATGACTGAAAAGCGAACTATGGGACAGATAGAGGGAGTCTCAGGGGATGTTATGATGCTTCGAGGACAGGTGCTTGCAACAAGGGTGCAGAAGAATGGACAGAAACAACTTCTAGTCAAATGGCACCCTGCTGACATGTAAGTATTAACCCATTTTTTTAAATAATTCTTTACTCGTTATAACTGTGTCTAAAATGTAAAATATCAACTCAAATGTGAAAATGTCGTTTTCCTTTTCAAAAAAATTAAAAAAAATTGTTATGTTAACTAACGTATTATCACATTTTGCAGTTTTTATTGTGTAGTTTTGTAATCACCCATCACCTATTTATAAGCGAAAATTAATAAATTTTGGCAAGTTTATAAATTTATGTTGGGTTACCAAAAAATTAAATTACTATTATGTGAGCATATTAGTAACACTGAAGCACAAGAAGTGTACTTAATGCAAAGTCTGATTGCATGATATCAAGAGAACAAAAACTGAATTTACTTTCTTTGAAGACGCCTATTTCTTCCTTAAAAAAAATTGGATTACAGTAGTAATATTTAATCTGATAATTTCGATTAAAAGAAAACGGTACACGTCTTTTGCAGTACTCCAGATGAGTGGGTTAATGAAAATGAATATAGCTCGTCGAAAACTGTTTCGATCCGTTCGTTGGAGCCGTCTTCGGTGGATAATTTAAAACCCATTTTGTTTCCTTCGCTTCGAAATAGTCAACAAGAAGAACAACAACAACCAAAAAGGCTCAAGCATCAGCGCAAACCTAAAAAAAATACGTGATAAACAAGCAAAAATTCTCAGACAAACACTTTGTGATCTGTTCGAGCAAGCGCAAAAAGAAACAAATTGAACACATCACACAGAGTTTTGTAAAACTGGAGAAGAGAGAAGACAAAAAAGTACAGATGAATGATAGCTGATTATTATGATAAGGTAAGAGAGAAGCGCATAGTATTGTATATTTCGCATTATTGATTGTGGAGTCTTTCACTGTGTACAGTATAGAGTGTATGTATTGTAAGTAAAACGTAAGCTAAGTTCTCTTCGTCGCAGACGTACGGGAACTTGTTTAAATAGTTGCAACCAGCCCTGAGACACTGCCATGTCACTGGTTAAATTCTAGTTATTAGAATAGACTAGCTAAATTTTTTAATACATAATGTAGTTCGTGTGATTTCCTCATTCGTATTTTATCATTTGTTTCCCATTTCGTCTCATTTTGATCATACTGTAACGGTTAACTATAATAATTCACGGTATTATTGTTATGCAAGCCGTTTATAATTTAAGTTATTGTAATTATTAAGTAATTAATATCTTCAACGTCGTCGTCATCATCGATATCATTATGATTGTAATCGTAAGGTAATTTTTGTCGATCGTTATCAGCGTAATTAACAGAAAGGTGGACTCAAAAGGAAACATCAAAAATCGGCATTCGACATTCCTCCTTGTGTGTTCTTATTATTTTTTTATGTAACTTGAAATTTGCAAATGCGGGAGTACATGCACTCAGAAAAGTTATTCGCGGTTTCTCATTATCAAACATTCAATGAGAAATTAATTTTCCCAAAACGCCTAAAACTCACGTCTGTGGTGCCCTTCCTTCCTAAATTAACATTAAATTTGTGCATTTCTTTCGATCACAGTTGTTCTAAATCATGCATTTCAAGTGATTTTCTTAATTGTGATAATTAAAACTTCATTTGACTACATTTTAAGAAAAGAATTTATAACTTCAATCAGTAATTTATTTGAAATAAATGCAGTGTAAAAGTAATACATATGACAGGGTATGTATACAAATATAAATTGCTGAAAAGCACCGTATAACGGTGAGCCTGCGAACTAAATCTCATGTGCAGCGCAGTCTATCGTCAAAGTCAAAACTAAACATAGGAGCAGCGTCGTGTAGCGAAAAGGTCGTCAACTTAAACGTATAATTTTCACATTTTGAATTATAAGGAGATACAATTTTGGCATTTTTAATTTCCGGCTTTAATGTCGCTTTCTGCATTTAATATATTTTTTCCGTTTTACACAGACGTTTTGAATATCGAACATTAAAGTCATTTCCTGAATTTAAAGAAATATAATTTTCGCATTTTGAATTTCAAGTTACTGCTTTCAGTTGCTATTGATATACATAAGTGCAATTTCGTAAATTGAAATTGGCATGAATCTTACTAGTAAAGAAGGACTTGCTCTTGTGCGTGTGTAAGATAAAGGCCAATTTAGAATTTACAAAATTGCTAATTTTAATTAAAACTGTGTGATTTTTGTGTAGATACTAAATGTGTTCTAGTAAATTTAATTTGTAATGGTAGTGATGTAAGAGAAATTACACTGCCAGGTTACTGCCACAAACAGTGCTTACTACTTAAAAAAAGAACTAGGAAATAAAAAAACGCTAGTATCATGCGAAGTAAAGTTTCGGTGCCATTTTTTTTTTTAATTATATGACATTTACAAAGGTCAGTTAAAGTGAAAAATTCATGAACCATGCAATGTTTTGTTTGTTATTAATTTAGTATTTATTCGGTGTTCAAGTAAGTGAAATCCATTCTAGATAATTTTTTTGAAATGATCTCGTCGTGTTTTTCGTTACGTTACTGATTAGTTTTTTTTTTGTGGTACAGAGTGTTCACAACTTTTAGGCGCTAAAAGTACGTCTAGAGGGAGCTCATGATTTTTATACACGCCACAAGTGGGACGGTACTTAATGTAAATGTATATTTTTTCTAGCGAAATTATTCTCTCATCCAAAGTTATCATCGTCATTTTCATAATCATCGTTATCATCATTAGAACGCAACAGTTAATTTGCTCATTTAATTATTACCTTTTTTGTCGTATGGTAAACCAAAAATAGACTGATCCATTCATAATTCTATTATTTATTTAGAAGACACGTCATGACTGAAGTAGTAAATAAATATTTGATGTTTTTTTAGCTTTAACATTGACTAAATGAAAGGTAAAATTTAAAAACGTTTCGACTTGGTACAAATCAAATTTAATTTTAAGGAGAGTAAAATTTAGGGCTTCGTTAGTCGGTCTACGTTTTTATATTCATCATTAATACGCATATTAACTAAACAGTGTTCTTTTTATTACGTGTAAATACATACAGATTAGCATTTAATGACATTCTTAGCTGTTCAACAGCATCTGATCTAATAATAATATATTAGGTATGTGTAATTGCAACTAAAAGAAAAAAACTCGTACAATATATAGCTATGCAATGCAATAGAAAAGTGAAGGCAGAAAAAAATATATTTAATTTTGATACGTGATAAAATACATAAACGCATACCGGAAGTTAATGATAAAGCAAAACAAAAATGACGTTACATACATTGATCGATTAAGTTTAAATGGTAATTTAGGTATTTTTCAAAATTAGAAGACTGTTGAAATTTATATCAAAGTAATGGGTAAGTCATTTTAGTTGTGTTCAGAAACTAATTAATTTTTTTTGTTTTTTCGTCGCGATTCTTAATTAAGGTTGACAGTATTTGTAAAGGCAAAGTAATCGTCTAGGTGTAATATGTTATACGAGGAGAAAGAAATGATACAGAGTTATATTCACTTTCAAATTTTAAAAATATATTATCGTACAATTTATAAGTAGAAGAATAGTTTAAATATGATGGCAAAAATGAGAAAATTATACCCAACAACCCGTGCGCTGTTCTTTTTTAACGAATCGTGTTAAATAATGTTCAACGGGAGAGTGTAACATCTCGTTAATGAGAAAACAGAAGATGAAAGCACTGTTGCTGGTAAAATTTACTCAATTTATGATTGTTTGATAAGTGTTAGCATTGACCTAGATATTTTATTGAAGGAACGGACATTATGTATCGTAACGCTTTTGAGAATGTTGTCTAATCACGATGAAAAACTAATACTATCCTAATTGGTGTTTAAATTTTAAGTTACGGACCTGTCTACTTTCAAGGCAAGAGACTTCGTGCTTCTTTTTATTTAGGCATTTGATGATACACCAATTATCTGAAATGTGAAAGAAAAATTCAATTCTTAAAACACCAGAAATAATATTTTTATTAGTTTGTTTCGTTGCCTTGATAGTGTGCAGGTTTTATACGAATGTTAAAAAATATAACTTTGTAAAATCAATCGACTGGCTTCACGTGGTCGATGGTTTGTTTGGAAAGCATGAAATGTAGTTAATAAATAAAATATTAATTAATGTATTGAGTGCTACTAGTAGAGTTTTTTTTCTGTGATGCCACAGAAATGGACGGGAAAGGAAAATACAAAGATAGGAGACGAAAAATTAGAAGAAGTGAANTTTTTATTTTCTGTTTTCTTTTTATTTTACGATTATTTTTATTTTTAATGCACTAGTGAACTCGGTTAAATTGGAAACAAATTCTACCTCATCGATCATAAAATAGTTTTTTTTTAGTTCACCAGGTATTTAAGTTATTATTATTATCATTAAATAATTGATTAATTAATTATTATTATTATTATTATTGCGGTTAAGAAGTAAAATGGTTTTCAAATAGATGTTACTGCCTGTTCGAATCAAAGACTGTACGATGTAATGCATTTTATTTATGTGATTCGACTTTTTTTACTTATACACGTGTATCTATTCTATTTGCGAATAAACCTGTAAATATATTTTTGTTTATTATTTATCATACTTAAATAAATCATTTCGATATGACTGCATTGTTTTTTATCATTTTTATCGACGGACTTCGCACCCCTTTATTTTTCGTTCATCATTCCCAGATACCTACATATTTTTTTTGATCTTGATAATATATACAGGGTGACTTCGGGAAAGAGTGTGAGAAGGAACCGGGAATATACAGAAGCTTAGCCATTATCCGAAACACATAATATAAAAATTTCAATGTAGAGTACTGAACGGGACTTCTTTATTCGAACATGATGGTTATTTTCCTTCAGGGAGTCCATCATTTATTCGACGTTTCGCCAGTTGGAATCCTCGGGGAAGAAGGGACTGTTTCAGCTAATTCATAGCGTCCACCACGTTCCCTGACGATCTGCATTTGGCGAAACGTCGAATAAAGGACTCCATCGGTGGGGAATTACCGAAGGAGGAGAACTGATCATCAACCCTATATATCGAGTCCTATAGGTTTTTAGAACGAGGATGCTAACAAAAATTGTTCTTTAATGTACATAAGATGCTTTTCAGATGAAGGTTGAGGCCTTCTACCTTCTTGTTTCCGCCTGACCCTGTATTATCTCAATAAAAAGTAAATATTGGAAAAACATATTCTTTTAGAAATATAATTTTACTGAACACTAGGGTGTAAAATGTTAATTAGGCAAGTTTTAAATTTGTTCGTCATCCTACTTAAAACTTCTTCAGGTGTTGAGGGAATGTGTAGGACCCTTGCAATACTTATAAAAAAGTCCAACTATTTCATTTTTCTTTTTCACATTGTTCTGGTTTTGTAAACGATAAATTAAAAATGGTACACGTATCAACGAGTAATTAAATGCAGAGGCATAAACACCCTAAATGGTGAATAAAAGCCTTAATTGTGGTACATTTGTTTACTATACTGGATAAACTAATACAATTAAAAAATAGAGCGAACTGTTGTTTTAAAGAAAAGTTGACAATAAAGTGTATTCTTTTATATGTTTTTTGAAGAAGTTTAGAAGTCGTTTACGATCATATTCGAAACTTATTGTATTAACAACTACCCTCGTATACACCCTATATTAATGGATTTGCGACATTGAACATCTTAAATATAGGGTGTGCTTCAATTAATTGTCAAAATGAAATTTTAGGGCATAATTTCGACCAATCTTACTACAGGTGCGTATTTGTGATAGCAGCAAATATCCTGTACACAAAAAAGGACACAGTAAAAGGTGCCAAAGAAATAATTCGAACCGGGACGAGATTTTTGAAATTTTGAGAAATAAAAATATAGGTAGGTACATATGGGTAAGTTCACTTTAATTTTTTTGTCATGTGCCCATTTTCTTGTGTTGTAGGATATGAACGTAGATTATAAAAATAAGTACATACACCTAAACCTCTTTTTAGAAAAGAAATTAGAGCGAAACTATTTTACAACATTCTCAAAATTTTCAGAAATTGGGTAGGTAGTACATAAATAGGTAAATGAAGTTGATGTGTTGTAGTTCACTTAACAAATATATCATAAAAAGAGGTTTATGTATAAGTAGTTACATTTTATGAAATTAAATTTCATTATCCTGGTTTTTCATTTCATTGTTTTGATATTTAAATGGTTTGGAAACAAAAAACTGATACACGTAAAAAAGTCCTTTCTACATATTGCAGTAATGGTAACATTTTTCCGTTTTGGAGAAATGATACAGAGTTATATTCACTTTCAAATTTTANCCCTGAATACTGAACTCATTGATAAAGGGAAATTACGTATCAGTTGGTCATTATTTTTTGTAGGAAGTCGATACTTCGTGTTCATGAATGCGAACATTTTTCAAGCAAAAATTTCACGAAAATAAGTAAAGAAAATTCAAAGATAGCAACTAAGGATGTCAGAAAAATGTTTTCAGTATTTTGATATTGTCCTGCAAAAGAAAAGTAAGGTAAAAATAACCCCGATAGGGATTTTACATTTATTAATAATTTTATCTTATGATACGAAGTTAATTTTTCGGAACTATATTGCAGGACACCCTGTATAGTAAGCATGGTAAAGGTTTTTGTATATATATTTATAACGGGGTGGTGGATTTTTTATTGCTCTAATTTAATTTATTTCGTGATTATTTCAGCAAGGGTAAGCTGTAACGCTGTGTAAACATATAACTAATTCTGTTTTCTTTTTCTTTTTGCGATTCATCTGCGAGATATTGGTCGATTTTGTGGAGACGCAGTCCACAAAATAGATGTTTCTGCTATCAACAACTAGGGTAAGTCAATAATCTTAGAATACATATTAAAAAAGAAGCTAAAACTTTGTAATGAATGATAGAAACTACTAAAATAAATGCTAAAGGGAAACGTATTTACGTTACAAATAATCTAAAACAAATTGAAAAACTTAATCGGGTAATTACCTAACATTGATTTAAATATTTAAAGACTTTGGACTTCATTCGGAGGGATTACCCAAAAGGGGTCAACTCAGCACAATCTTCTTTTCAACGGGACGAATTTTTTTAACAACTATGAACGTATCTGTTTTCGCCAAAATAAAATAAAAATTGTGAATATTCCTTCAATCTTCTACACTTAATGAGATGCTTATGCTATTGTTAATAGAAAATCTTGTTCTGTACCGTTCAAAGGCTGTCTGATGTTACCTTAAGTGCCATTCTATGTAATAAATTAGGTAAATGGGTATTTAAATTTTGTACGAAATAAGATAACTTGCCAAATAACGTAATAACGATAACGTCCAAATAAAAAAAAAATCTATCATTCGTAAAAATTAAATTGTTATTTGCGGAAAACAACTACGAAATTTTAATAGAAACGCGAATAAAGAGCCAAAACGAACTTTTATATTTTAATTAAATAACAAATTAAGTATTCCATTCAATTAGTTCGGTAAATTGTTATAGATTATAGTAAGAAATAGCACTCATCTCTCAAGTTTACGTTTTAACTTTTGAAACAAAAAGGAAAGTAAAGATTAGAACATAGTGCACAAAAAAGAAAATCAGTATTAGGTTTTTTATGGGATTCAATACTTAATTATTACGAAATTATTTACTATTTTATCTACTATACCATTTTTAATAAATCGTATGTAGTGTCGATAAAACTAAAAGTAGATAGTAAAATTTTTTACACGTTTAATTAGATATCTATGTAGACGTCTTTGAAGGGTACATAGAATTATGTTTCACTTTAAATAAAAATCATTAGTAATCGATATATTTTTACTATTGATCTTAAATCCATTTAATTAGGTATTTATCTTTTTTTATACAGATAATATACGATATAATAACTTGGAACGAACAATAAATTCATTTATAATATTTTTGCAATATTATTTTGACGACATGACATAGAAACGTTAAGATCAATTGTAATTAAATTTTAATGATTCAAAATAAAGATTTTATATTATATTAGTGTCACAATTAATGTGTTAGAATGAAAATCAAATCGAGTAATCGAATTAGACTAAAGGAATATTATGTTATTATGTAAGTAATAAAAATTCGCTTACTAAAAAATAAAACATGTATTCATTTCATTTTCATATTGACTTTTTTTCACGAACATTTAAAATAAATAAAGTTTGCATTATGAAATAATTTTTTTTTTCGTAGTGTAGGTAGTAAAATATTTTATTTATTTTATAGCACGTCGTATTCCGTCGAATTAAATAACATAAAATATTTACAATAGTGTCTAAGTCTACAATAATTTCAATTTCTAGAAATAAAATATGTTTTATTTTTACCAGAATAAACCACCAAAATGAGGGTAATAATAATTATAACTGTAGTCATAAACATCGTAGTATGCGCTATAATAGTACGGCATATAAGACGAATACATCATGGGGTAGCCGCCATACCCGTAGCCATGACCGAAACCTATACCCCTTTTTACTACATGTTTGGGCTTTTTAGGGGCTGAGGGTTCTAACACTTCTTTAGTGGTAATCGCAGGTTTTCCTTCTATTATTGTTGTTAAAATGTAAAGTACGAAAAACATCCAAGCCTGAAATTTACAGTCACAAAAAGAAAAAAAAAATTTGCAACAGAAAATTATCTCATGTTTAGTATAACTTCAAAATAATATATTTCTTAAAATTGAAATGTTTTAACATTAATCTGAAAGAACAAATTTTACTACGTAACGGTTTCCACAGTTAACAATATATAATTTAAATACGTATATTTATTAAAATATATTTAAAAATTTGGAATAGTAATATTAAAATTCAATAATTTATTTATCTACAGCGTCTAAAATGCTAAAAGATCAATATTCTCATTATTGGACTTACCAGATATTTCATTTTAAATTAGTACTTTGTGTTGTATCATCCGAATCACAAAGAGTATTGGTTTTTACCACCGGTCTGCACTTAAATAGTATTAATATATGTATGTACTCACAACAAATAAACTATTTCGATTATGTACTGCGCTTGTACATAAATATTCCATTAAACCTCTAAAAGGCATAGTTTAATTCAAATACAAAAAAGGCTCCATCATTCTAAATATATGCTTTAATTACTTCCTCGAGTACAAACGTTTGTTTTGAGACAAGCAGACAGGGATCCCTGAATACTGAACTCATTGATAAAGGGAAATTACGTATCAGTTGGTCATTATTTTTTGTAGGAAGTCGATACTTCGTGTTCATGAATGCGAACATTTTTCAAGCAAAAATTTCACGAAAATAAGTAAAGAAAATTCAAAGATAGCAACTAAGGATGTCAGAAAAATGTTTTCAGTATTTTGATATTTTTCTAATCGCAGCCCTTTAATTCAAACACTAATAAACTTGGTGTAAATGACGCCGAATTAAACAATAATTAATTGAGGTAACGGAAGTATAAATAAATAAGACATTTACCAAGTTATAGTGTCGAGTATATTTTCAAAATGACCCTATGTTTAAAATAAGTGGTTAAAATTTATATTTATTAATTTAACTAGTTTGATGTGTTATATATTTTGTAATATTCTTTAAGATTTTTAATGTTTCTTCGTTTTTGTACTGCTACTTCTGCGTACACATTTACATACATGTAGAGTTGAGATGATACGGGATTGATACCGATAACAGTGACCTAGCAGCAAAGTTATTTGCGCGTTCATGAGAGATTGTGTGCGTCATCAGAATAGTCTGTAGTCTGTACGAAGAATAGTTAGTAGAATATTGACCAACGAAGTCGATTGTCGGGTTAGTTACAGGTTAAGCAATTGTGATTATGACTATGTAAATGTATAACTTCCGTTAATTAATTATAGAGTAAGTGTTTTTTAATTATTAAGGTGCTGAATTTGTTATCTGTATAAAAAGATTGTTAGTGAAAGTATATGAATGTATTTGTGATTTCGCCTGCAAAAGTCAACCGATAAGTTGACGAAAGCTAGAGTCATTTTAAGAATATACACCATATTATGTGGTACATTATCTGGTCGTATTTAAAAATTGATTCATTTAAAAAAGTAATATTTGTACCAAAACCATCATCATGAGGTCGTCAGTCCTAAGACTGGTTTTACACACACCTCCACTGTTTCCTATCTTGAGCTAATCTTCGCATTTCCCCAACCCACATCCTTAATTGAACAGTAATCTAATCAAGGTTTATCTCTACTCCGTTTAACTCCTGTTTCTGCCTCTAATATGTCTCTGACTAGACCCTTCATGCCTGAGAAAGTGTCCTACCAACCTATCTCACCTATTTCTTATTGACATCCATAGAGTTCTCTGTTCTCCTATTCTTTCTAATACCTTTTCATTTCTAACCTTTTCTACCCACGTGATCCTCATCATTCGCCTATAACACCACATTTCAAAAGCTTCTAACCTTTTCTTTTCCGTCGCGCCCACCGTCCATGTTTCGCAGCCATACAGCGCCGCACTCCAAACATACACCTTTAACAATCTTTTTCGAATTTCTAAATTAATCGTTCGCGAGCATAGAAGGGACTTCTTTTTATTGAAGGCGACTTAACCCTGGGCTATCCTCTGCTTTATATCCTTACTACTCCTTCTGTCCTGACTTATCTAACTTCCTAGACACTTAAAATCAGTCGCTTCTTCTAATTTTTCGTTTCCTACCTTTATATTCGCTCTTTGCCTGCTTATTCTTACCTTGCATACCAGTATTTTTGTTTTACTTTTATTCATTTCCTCGTTTCTTATATTATTTACCCTACATCAAACTTTTCTTCTACTTCTTTACACCTCATGTCAATCCACTGTTCCTTAGTTGCCCTACACTTCCTAATTATTTCCCACTTTTTTGCCCTTCTTCGTCTATCCTCTTTTTGTATTTCCGCCTTTCTTCTACTAATTCTACAATCTCGTTTGTTGTCCAGGGTTTCCTACTTTCTCACCTACTCACTCCAGTTTGTACAAGAGCTTCGTCAAGGTTGAAGTCTCGTCGGATCGGAAATTTTTGGCAAAGTAAAACAATTAAGTAATAACAAGAAAAAGTATTTATTAATTAGGTAAATGTAAGAAGTTTATATACAATGAAGTAATATCGACAACGAAACTAAATTGCTTCGTTTTGTCTATGGAGATATTAAAATTAAAGTGTGAAAGATATAAAATAAATGATACATAAAAAATTAAAACTTAGGTACATCAGTAGAGTTGTGAATTCCATCAAAAACCGCCTGCCCACCCATGTCCATATCCTCCGTAGAAAGGCTTGGAATATCCTCCATAGTAGCCTCCGTATCCACCATATCCTCCGTGTCCTCCGTATCCATATCCTCCGTAGTAAGGTCTGATAATTTTAACAGCAGAATAAGAGGGATAGCCATGACCATAGCCTCCATATCCTCCGTATCCGCCATAGCCTCCATAGCCTCCGTAACCCAAAATACCTCTTTTGGCAATTCTTCGTGATTCTTGAGGAGCAATTTCAGCCTCGCCTTGTTGAGCATCCTGAGCCTGTTGGGCTACCACTGCTGCCACGAAGAAAAGGACTAACACTGCCTGTACATATGGAAATTATAGGTAAGTGAACACCAAATAAATTATATTTCTACAATAATTTAATTTGAGAAGGAGATCCAGTTATTCTTATATTATAATAGCACCTAAAATTTGAATATTGCAAACAATTTGTTTATACTGATGGAAGTACGAATCTTTTAATTTTAATCAGGACCGTCTCTAGAGTTAAGGCCGCCCCGGGCAAACTGTTAAAAAACAGCCTCCCTTAAAAATATTGGCTGTTGTGTATATATAGATATAAAAAACTTTTTATTTATGCAAATGTACCTAATATTTAGAAACAAAACAAGTTTCGTACAATTAAAAATTAAACAATACAAATATCAATAAAAAAACCAATAGATTTTCTAGCTTTAATTTCTGCAGAAGTAGAAATTGAATCTTTATAATTTAATATAGCTCATTATCTAGTGAAATTAATGCCAATCCGCCGAGTCTATTTTGATTCATATTTGATCTTAAATAATTTTCCACTATAGCGTAGTAATTTTCAATTTTATTATTAAAAAAAAATTAACTTCATACTTTGGTGTGTTAATCAATTTTTTAATAACTTTAAAACTATATGTATAAAAAATGCCAAAATAAATTCATAATAAAGGTAGGTACTTACAAAAGTTTTCATCTTGGAGATTTTCTTGAGGTTGTTTTCACAGTAAACACTTAACTTGGTATACGTCTATTGAACAGGTAAGGCATCATTTATACTCAAGTTTCCCTTATGTTCGGAACCCCTCCCCGAATAAATATCTTGGAGGTGATTGCAAAACGAGCAGAAGGTTGGAAGAAGTTATTGTTAACAATAGTTGCAGGTCGCGTGCTTAGATAGTCATTAAAGGAATTTGTCAACTATAATCGTCTGTTTAACGCGAGACACGCAAATATCGGAAGTTGACATCTAACCGAATTTAAAAAATATTGCAACATGAATTAAGAGGTTTACTTGTAAAACACTAAGCAGTAAGTAGCCTATAGGGCGGGGTCGCGTTTTTTTTTTTTTGGAACACTGAACACAAAAGTGCAATCGTATAATTAGGGAAATTTATGCTTAACGAGTGCGTCAGTCAAAATGAAAATAATCTGGCAGAAGTAAGGCGTTATTGTGATAAATTATTTCCGAAAAATTATTGGGAAATTTTTTGATCAATTTTCTTTTTTGACTTTTTGGGATAGTGGAACTTATAATTTTCAATTATCAACTAAATCTAAACATTTAACTATTATTTTATTAGACAAATGTAAAACACTGAACACAAAAGTGCAATCGTGTTATTAGGGAAATTTATGCTTAACGAGTGCGTCAGTCAAAATGAAAATAATCTGGCAGAAGTAAGGCGTTATTGTGATAAATTATTTCCGAAAAATTATTGGAAAATTTTTTGATCAATTTTCTTTTTTGACTTTTTGGGATAGTGGAACTTATAATTTTTTATTATCAACTAAATCTAAACATTTAACTATTATTTTATTAGACAAATGTAAAACACTGAACACAGAAATGCAATCGTGTAATTAGGGAAATTTATGCTTAACGAGTGCGTCGGTCCAATTAATAATTAATTTTTTCCAATTATCAATTAAATCTAAACATTTGACTATTATTTTATTAGAAAAATGTAAAGGTTCTTTAAAAATTCCTTCATGTGCCTGTTACTAACGATATAAATATTCAATCATGTGGTTACTTTTCTTACTGTAAAATCCACTTTCGTCTGAAAATTCTCCTCTACGACGTTATAGATATGTATCAGTTTACTTAATTACATACGGAAGTGCTTCTACTCCGCTTCTTTTTTTAACATTTTTTAAAACTTTTGTTCTATTTCATTAGTTCGCATATGAGGAAGTTAAATACGTATGAAGCATGTCTTATACAACAGATATAATGATTACACTGTCTATGCGCATTTATTAGTGTATTTTTGTTTTTGCTTTTTTATTTTAACGTATGCATATCGACTGACGACAAATAAAATAGAGAAAATTAAAATCGGCAGCTGCCTGAAAACAGAACTTTTCGTATTATTTAAGACTAGATTTTACCCTCGCATTCGTTTGCGTGGATATTTTAAATACCTACTTGTCAATGTTTATCGACGACCACATAAAACTAATTTTTATATCCCTCGGGAACAGATTCTCTTTCTGGATAAAACAAATAAACAAACACAAATATTAAGTATTATTAGTATTTCTGTATTTTAATTACCTTTCTCGGGATAAGTCTTTCTAAATTCAGGAAAATAGACCGATTCATACAAAAATTATCTCGTTAAGATTTCACCTTTATTTGATTACCAAATATTTTCCAATAATAATTAAATAAAAAGACCCGATATTGGATCACAATTGCAACTGAAATAAATATATTTCAGGATATTCCCTATTATGATTTTGAGTATGGGATTTTTCTGAAATTTTTAAAAATAAAGAAATTTTTATTGCGAAGCCAAAGTAAGAAATTTCCAACGGTCTATTACGTATTTTTACATAATACATTCATTCAAACTGTGTTCACAAACTACTGTAAAATTACACACTCCTGTGGTTAGTAACCACTAAAGTGTGTTTATAGCCTGTTGTAGTTGTTTCTCTAATAGTAAATAAAATTTATAAGGGTATCTACCGGTTTAGAAAAAAGGACATTAAATCTTGCGTTGTTATTTTGCAACAAGATACCTCTGAAATCAATCAAGAGCGTGCAATAATAAATAAAACGCCTTGCTCCAAAACTTTTATTATTAAAAAAAAGGTATTAAATACCAAAACCTATTAAATAAAACTGCGTAACACATCGGCCAACTTGTTTATATAGATTCCAAGGTCGCCATAATTAAATACTCCAATTACATTTTATAATTAAGTATTTACCTGATGCAAGCGACATCGATTCGATTATTTTGATCTGTTTTTTCACTTGTATGTGTACTAGTCCTTCAGAAGACCCCTCCATTATATATATCTATATTGTTTATTAACATTACTGCGTTATTTCCGGTTAAGAATGGCAAAAAATATTCTCATTGCAAGATAGCTTTATATAGCATAAATTGTCCGTAATACTAAACCACCAAAACCCCTCTTATTTCTGCTAAAGGACAATTAGAATATTGAAATTAGAACCTGTCCCTTGATATTAAAGAAAGTAAATAGAAAATTATAAAAAAAGAAAGCTGTTTGCGTTTCATTTCGTTTGCGTTACGTATGGTGCAATTAGGCACATTTTAAGAAAAAAAAACAAATACAAAAAGTCATTTATTACTTTCATCAAGGGACTAAGGCGCTCCGCTCCTGGTTGACTGAAACTAATCAAACTAATAAAAAATGCTTCTGTATTCTACGAACAAGCGTGAGCGATTTTACAATAATAATTAATTTATCTATAAATTAATTGCAATGTCACACGTAAAATTAACCTACCGTTTCCAAATGCAATCTACATTTCGATCTTTAGGTCAATGAAAAATGGTTAGCTAGTGGGATTACGTAATATCCTTACATGCATCCTTACACAGGCTGTTCCCACAACTATCTTATCGATTTTTCTATAGGAAAGAAAATATATGAAGGCAGTATTATAATTACCAATTACCACAGCTCGTTGTTACTATATAGCCATGCCTAGATAGTCGGAAAACGAGATGTCTTCATTGAAAATAGAAAAAGATGTATCAATGTTACGTAATTATCGCTCAGAAAAAAAAAGATGCAATTTGATAACGACCATTTCAATTAATTTGTCAAATAATGTTCCTACCAAATTAATTTGTAATGAAGATACTCATCAAAAAAGCTTATTCACATTACAACTACCAAAATATATCATTATTTTATACACTAACACAACAGTTAAGCTTCTAAAAAATGTCTTAATGAATTATAAAAAACTTTACCTTTCTCCTAAAATATAAATACGAAGTTTCAGTTTTCATAATTTATTGTTTTAATAGTTAAAAAATGTTCCTCTTTCGATTACAAAATATAGATTACAGATGTTACATAAATTGTCCACATTGTTTTGAGAGAAAGGTATTTAATGGAGATGATAAAAGCATTTTTATGAACAACAGATGTAATTACTAACCTTAAATGTACATAAATCGACCTCTATTATTTCAACAACAATCCTATGTGACAATGATTTAAACTATTGATGCATAACACAGAAGTTTCAATACGTGAAAATAAAAAAAATTATCGTCATGCTTAGAAGGCTAGAAAATTGTTTGTCTGCAATTTTTGTGGTGACTGCAGATTTTAAAGTCAAGTTTAAACTTTGATTTTCTTTGAACAGTTAATTTAAATTCAATGGAAACATCTTTCGTTTTCAAAGGAAGAAATATGAAGATTGGAAAAACTTTGGCGGTTGTAGAACAAACAGAATAGCTTAAAAGTCCAAAACACGACACTGGAGTTGTCCGAAGTTACCTTCTTCAGGGACTGAAATAAACAGTTTACTTCAGTAAACAGTTTACTTCAGTCCCTGAAGAAAGTAACTTAACAGTGTCGTGTTTTGCCGTTGGGGTTTCGAGCTTTTCTGTTTGTTCTTCAAAGGAAGAAACATAATAAAAATCCTCTAATTTGTTACTTAAAAAAAAACAGCGATAATTACAATTCGATATTTCGTCACACTCTTTAAATTAGGGCGAGAATATTTTGCTAGTGTATGTAATCTATTAGTCCATAACATTGCTCTTAATTTCAGCTTGTTTATTTAGGTTGATTTTGTTTGATTTTTTGTTGTTAAAGGTAAAAACAAAACAAAAGCGTCTGTTACCGATGAGGACAACGCATTGTAAAAAGAACCATTCTCTTAACGTCGATACAACGTCAAATAAAAGCACATATGTATTTACAATAAATAATAGATAATAAAAACATGCGAAAAGCCGCCGAACCGTGAAATATTGTTCTGAACGAGCAACAATAGCTAAGAATTTGTTCAAGGTATCACCAACATCCTAAGTACTTTAATTAGTTCACTTTTCAACAAACACACATTATAAAAGGTTGAATAATTGCAACCTGTGTTCTCAAGAATCCTCGGTGCATTTAATGAGAAAACATGCAAACCTATACACCTGTGGCAAAGGTAATGTGCTAGTTACGCAAAATGCAAATTTAAATTGGACGTATTACATTAACAGAAATCGAAAATAAAATATTAAAACGATAGCAATCTTAACTAATATTATTTTGTGTGTTTGCTACCATTTCATGCCTCAACTACTCAATCGATCATCATGAAATTTTGTAGACACATTATCAGGGATACAGGAAAGGATATAGGGTACCTTTTATCCAGAAAAAATACTGTTCCCGAAGGATAGAAAAATATTATCTTTATGTGATCGTCGATGATTTTCGACATTTGAAATTAGATCATCGATGACTACGAAGATCTTTGGTAGGGTAGAGAAAAGCACTTAGGGTACCTTTTATCCTGAGGGACAGAAAAATTAGTTTTATGTGTTCGTCGATAATTTTTGACACGTATTTAGATACCGTGGGTGAAACTTTGTGGTTAAATATATTTTTAATTATGTATTAACCACCATTTGGTTTTGTTTATATAGAGTACGATAAATATGTTTTCATTTAGTTAAAATCGATATACATGACACATATTAGACATATTTACTCATTAATGAGGAAATAAGAAAGTTTTAACGTTTCATCAAAAAAAAGCCACAATTATAATACAAATACTTAGTATAAAACCAGTTGGAATTTTCCCAGCAAGAAATAGATATAGGCACATATGGAAACCTCAACATTAAATAAATAAAACTAAAACTTTTTAAAAGAAAAAACTATGACTAACAGCAAGTAATAAATTTAACAATAAAACCCATCATTCATAGATTAATATCATATAGAAATAATAGATACTGCTCAAAATTGAAAAACTTCATATTTTTATTTATTTATTGATAAAAAATCATTGTAGTTAGTAATTTAATAATCTAATGGATAAAAAAATGATTTCAATAATCGCCTTCTAATTTAGTACTTTCATCGGCGGGCATATCATAGTCGTAATCATTTTTTGATGATTTAAAGTAATCGTCTTCATTATTTGAACGCGAATCAGAATCGTACATATGAAGAGAATTAGAGTCGTACACCGGAGGAGAATCCTGTACATTAGATTCAATCTCAGCATTTTTTAATCGATCATGGTCCCATTCTCCAAATTCTGGATCTCCTTCAGATTGAGACGACACGATATTTTGACTGAGGCAACAAATACTAAACATCAAAAGCTGGAAACAATTTTTTTACGTAATAGTTTTTGGTCCAAGTGAAAAAATAGATATATAATAATATGTATAATACACGATGTATTAAAGTTGAAGCAGGAAGGTAGAGAACACTAAAAACACCCCTATATATGTTATG